GGAATTGTACCAATCCCAGCATGTAAACAAACACATTCAATCAGTATGATTTGGGGTGTACAACTGATTTAACTAGGGTACGTTTATTGTGCCCAAAGTTCAGCTTTAAAGATATAATTAAAAAATGTCTTTGTTGCAAAATAAATATTGGCTGTGCCTTGTATTTTTTCAAGTATTTCTAACACCAACTAAGAGTGTCAAAATGTGGCAACATTTTTTTGTGATGCAGCATTCAGTTAACCAGCGCAAGAAGGATTGTTCCATTACTGTAAACAGGCACAGGTATAAGAATGAAGCTGGTAAAGGATTGGCTCATGTTGTGGTCCATGTCCAGCCCAGACAAGGGATGAAGATAGTATGGAATGGAAAAAATTCACCCATCCTACTCAAAATGCTGAGTGAAGTGATTAAGATGAAAATGTGAAAACATCCCTTCTTCAATACTATGGGGTCTATTCACAAAGCTGCCATAGACAGCCGAGTGAATAACCGACCCGAAGTGAAGTGAACGCTGTTCGGCTATTCACTTCAGGCTTGTACGGCTGATCACAACCGTACACCGACGAAAATCAGCCGTACATCGGATTGCTGCGGCTGGCTTCGGGTCGGCCGAACATGCTTAGCATGTTCGGCCAACCTGAAGTGCAGAAGGAGTTTGACTCAGCCGACTAAAACTAAATGGAAGAGCAGTGTGCACTTAAAATACCTGTTGCAGTAAGGTGAGGGTGCTCTCCGCACACCTTTCAGCAGTCCCGGCCAATACACGAAGATGGTGCTTGTAGTAACTCCACGGATGGCACCGTGCAAAACGAACAATTGAAGAAATAGGTCACCAGCACTCAAAGAGTTTAAAAATGAATAAGTCCTTTTTATTGGACCATGGTGTCACCACAATCAAAAAGAGCCGACGTTTCGGGGCCACGCAGGGTCCCTTTCTCAAGGCAAAAGATGTGACCATTTGGCTCGGCTATTGTGCTCGTTACCTCTGTGGTACCCAGCAGAATAGAAAAACAGTTAAAAAATTAGAAAAAATGAAATACAAAACGATTGGGCGGAGCTAGCAGTGACAGCTAGCTCCGTCCAACTGTTTTCTATTCGCCGGGCGGTTCTGCTGCCGTTAGAATAATAAAGACAAAAAACCACAGGAATGCATAGCTAGATTCCTATTGGCTATTTCACTTTGCAATAGCCAATAGCAAACTAGCTATTGCACCCGACCTCTGCTGCTGTCAATCACTAGAAGGGGACCTGATGGAGAACTTCAGGTCCACTCTGCTGATTGACAGCAGCAGAGGGCGGGTGCAATAGCTAGTTTGCTATATGCTATAGCAAATTGAAATAGCCAATACAAATGTAGCTATGCATTCCTATGCTGTTTTTTTTTTATTCTGATGGCAGCCAACGGCTCCGATGTCAGAAGAAAAAAAAAAGACAACAGAGCAGGGAAAGGTTTACTCTGCTCCATCGAGCAGAGTAAAACTTTCCGGGAAAAAATGTTTCTCTCCCAGGCGGCCGGGAGCCGCTATCTAATAGGAGACTCCCGGAGCGCCCGGGAGAGTTGGGCTGTCTGGAGATCAGCGTCCCTGGTAACCAGGAAGTGGCCGTAGCCAGCCGTGAGATGACGGCTGGCTCCGCCCAGCAGTCAGTAGCAGGCTGTCGGCCAGCTTTGGCTTTCACCTCGGCTCAGTCGAGCCGAAGCATATGCCTTCGGCTCGACTGAGCCCCTCAGCTGTACGGGCTATAGTGAATATGGGTCCTGGGGTTGAAGCTAGTCGAAAGATCAGCCGAAGCCACGGCTAGATCGTTCGGTAGCTTTGTGAATAGACCCCTAACTGTTCTTTACTCAACTATTTGGTTCCTGAAAATTCGGGATTTACCATCATGGTACTGTTAAATAATAAGGGCACTATGCCACCTTGGGAAACCTCTGTGCGCTCATCTACAACCTAAATGAAAATTGATGGATCAAAGCCTCAAATACTTCCTTGCATATGTCTGCTCTACATGTCATTAAGGAGTTATAACTTCTTATTGTGGAGTTGTAAACTTACTTATGTTTATCCTTTGTAAAATGAGTTGTCAGAGCATAAAACTGCCGCAGGCACTCTAGAAGTATAGAATTAGTAAATCATTTTAGTGGTATATTGCAGTGGCTCATCACCAAAATTCCCCATTCTTCTCTGATGTCTCCTCCATGTCATTCTGACCTGGATGCAATGTACTATCTGCTATTACATCATCAACACCTAAAGGTCTAGACCTGGACCACACACCAGAGCCTTTTTTCTTTGCTTACAATACAATAAAAAGTCCAAATTAAGGACTAAAATGAAGATCACCCCATACTCAGAAGAGGGGCCTGAGTGCTTCCAAAGGATGGGTGGGAGTATGAGGATTAAGTTGGCACCTTGGCTCAATGTCTCTGGTTCCACAACACTTTAAGACTGCTTATATTAAGACATTATTCAAATGAGCTTGTCTGCTACTTCATAGGTATAATCTGGCCTGCTATAACTTTGTTGCACCAAGTTTGGGAACTGTAAAACTGTGTTGATGCTCCCCTTAGCTGGTGCTACTTTTGTTACTGTCTAAAAGTGCATAGAATTGCACAACACCAAAAAAAGAACCTATTTTCATTTTGATAGTTCTAATTTATTATATAATTAAAAACACATTTTTGTATATATAGTTGTAAAAATGGCTGTGGAAGCTGCTTACTGCACCCGAGGGCTTCTATGTTTTTAGAAACCAGGCAATTGAACATTGTTGTAATACTGATTTTGTTTTCTGGAAACAGTTTAATTGACATGTGGATTTATCAGGTATCCTTGAAATATTTCAATGTATATCTCTCTAACTGTAAACGTATGCACTAGCAAAAAAGGGATTAGAACATCAGCTGTGCTGCCTCAAATTGTGCCTCATAGGGATCGTCCTATTTTTAAATTTTTTTTATTCGGGTAGCTGGGCATCTAAGTCTTGCTTGTTATTGGAGTAGCAATGGGTTGTAGAGTTCTGCCTTTTGCAGTAACCCATGTTCTTTTTTTCTTTAACGGGCATTCCCTTGAAAACCTAAAGCATACATTCAAGAGGATAGAGCCAAAAGCTTTATTGGGCATACTTTAAGATGTATTTTTCCTGATCTACAATAGGCAGTAGCTCTAGATTTCTTTTATAGGAATATGATTTTAAAAAATCACATACTAAAGCTAATTTACTAAAGTATTTGAGAATGTTTACACAATAAATTGTGTGAATCTACTTCAAATATTCAATCATTTGCAGATTAAATAAGTATAGATAATCATAGCGCCTCTTAACACAATTTATTGTGAGAACATCATCAAATTCTTTAGTAAGCCTGCTTATTAATATACATTTAACAAACTGAAATTGCTCAGTTACAGTATTTGTTTTTTTCTACGCTTATTCTGGATGGCAAACAGCATTAATCCATTATTGTTTTGATCCTGAAGAGTAGCTGAGATAGACAAACAGATTACATTAAATATATATTTACATTTAATATCATCAGAGGAAATATTCTAATAGATACCCAGATAGACATATGAGTCAGCCATCTCACCATTTGCCATTTGCATTCAGCTGGAAAGTTGGTAGTATGACGCATGATGCATGTATGATTCAGTTTTCATCAGCTATTATGGTGTAGGGATATCTTGTTTCAAAACACTTTTATGTGTATTTTTTTTAGTTACCTTTTACTAAAAACATTGTTAAAATGTTATTCTTTATAATGCAACTGAGAAGGCATAGAACTGAAAAATGTTGATTCCATTTGGATCATATGTATACACAGTATATGACAAAGTAATTTTACTGGAGCAAGAACAAGGGCTAATATAATGAAGTTCTGTTTATTTATTGCCTTTAGTACCTATTAGAAAACTCTAGTAAAATAAAAAATAAAAATACAGGCTGAATTTTAAAAACCATGCCATATTAATGCTACTTTTATTTTATGAATGCTGTAGTTAAAGGAAAACTGCATTGAGAGATATTTGGAGGATGCCATTGTTGACCCGTTTTTGAAAATGTTACTTTTCTGTTTCAAGTCAGTGACTGATAACACTGAAGTCAATGCATTGGCATGACAGCCAGGCAAGTAGCATTTTCAGAGCAAGGACAAAAATGGGAACCCCAATATCTCTTGCAGTACAAGTTTCCTTGCATAAAATTGATGACACATTTTTAAATGCAATATGTATGAAAATACAGAAGAGACAATCTAACAGTATGCATCCAATCTTTCCCTGCTAGTTATATATTGATTTGAATGGCTACCATTCTCTGGTTTGTTCCAAATTACAGAAAGATCCATCATTCAGAAATTACCAGGGCTTTATGAATCTTAAGTCTTATACTGGTATTTGAATTCTCTGAAACACAGCTGATGTATACTATACAGGAGATGTCTGCTAGCAAATTGTTGACAATTGTTTTCCTTAAGCACTCACATGATATTTATTTTGGACAATGTGACATTTAAAGTCCAACTCCAGGGACATTAACTCATTTAGGCTTGGAGGATGATAAAAAGCAGTTTTACTTACCTGATTCCCACTCCACCGGCAGTCAAAGCTCTCCTCTTCTCCCCCTCCACTGATGTCTCTCTGCATGCTCACATACAATCCAGAGCTGTGGAACCTGCATTGTACTTGATGATGTCAGTGGTCCTTAGACCACCAGAGCGAAGGGGAGAAGAGGCTATGGGGGCCAGTCCAGCAGCTTGAAAGGACCCTGCAGGAGTGGGGATCAGGTAAATAACATAGCTTTTTCCTGTCAGCTGGGCATAAATAATCAGTTAACCCTTACTTTGCAGGGTTAGCCCCCCCTTCTATGTAAAGCTTTTTATTTCCCTGGAGTTAGGCTTTAAATATTGTGGGGTTATTTTCTGTTTCATTGTTTTATTCAACACAAGCTTATAAACATTTTTAAATATTTCTAAATAATTAATACAAGCTCTTTATTCTTTTCAGGACTATGTACTAAAGCAAGTGGCAACCATGTATTTCCGCCTTGGATGGCCAGCTAATGGACACAATGGATCGATAATCCAGACATCTTATCAGACTGAGTATGACAGCATCTATTAATCCATTCCAGAGCAATAAACTTTTTCAGAAAATAAGAAATATTGTAGTGATCACGCAACTGCTTGTTACATCCTAAATGAGAAAGTACACCTTTTCAGTGTCATGTGTTTTCAGTGACAGAATTCTTTCTGCTAAATTGCAAGATAGTGGGATTATTCTTCTCTAGTTAACTATGATTTAAATGCACAGGGTTCAGAAAATATTTTGACAAGGATTAGTCCTTAGCTTTCTGTTATTTGTCTCTCCCTGTGTTTTTCTTCCTTTTGCACATTTTCTGCTGTAGTTACTCTTATGAATCCTAAGGGAGTTTATCTTTTATACTAAGTCATACAATGCAGCTTCAAAAGAAGAAAGCTCCATTAGTGTTACACAGTGTGACTGTAGCAGCATGATGCACCTTTTTCCTGTCTTTCTCGTTTGATATTTAATTTCTCTGAGGCCCAGCATCTTTGAGATTTATATTCTCCTGCATGACATTTTTAAAGCAAACAATGTTCTGCTTATCTCTTGAGTTACGACCTCAAAGTGATGTTGAGATTTGAACTTATGCTTATCTCTGGGTACCAGAATGCTTGCACATGTACCAAATGTCGCTTTCCTTAACATCATTACTTCAGATATACTTATTCTTTATATACACTCTTTTTGTTGTGTGAACTGTATCTTTCTCCTGCTGTATGTCAATGTGCAATAAATAAAATCCTTTGAATCTCCAACATCCCTGTGGGAAAAGAGTTCACTAAAAACATACAGATCAGAATCAGCATTGTTCTCTTTAACAATTATGACTAATGGTTATAGGAAACTTATGCTAGGAATATGAGGGAGTTGCTGACCTCCTCAAAATGCAAATCACATGGCTTACTTTACATATCACTGATCTGTAAAAAGCATGCAGCAAGTGAAGTCAGGGTGAAGTTTGCAGTCCTCATCTGTGTGTTTGTTTCAGATTTGTGAGACACAAGCATTGGTGCCAAGCATCTGTCTGAAGTTAAACAATGACAGCCCTCACTTTTTGTTCATGACACGTTTCCTTTAAAGTCACTTGCCAATCTGCAACCCTTTGGTTTTAGTTTTTTGTGCTGCTGGGTTTCAGTATTGAATGTGAGATTTCACTCAAAAACGTGTTGATCTAAAATAAATTGAACTAGCACATTTTGCTTGCTTTGTGATTGCTCCCCTATTGCTTGTTAAATTAATGTCAGGTTTGCGCAGTGACGAAAGTTCTAAACATGCCTCCAAGTGAAAGCCTTTTGATATAAGTGAATCAGTCGCCTTAAAATGTCAGAATTTATTTCAGGCTTTTATGAGTCGTGATTCGTGCATGTAAAGTTCATTGTTGAAGAGCTGCAATATTTGACTGCTGATACATCTAAATGTATTATTGCTTTTAACTCTTTACATTAAATTAAGATGCAAATTGTTAAGGCTATATTAGCATTCTCATAGAGTATTCACAATTTGTGTATGCTTTGTTTTCCAACTGCACATTTAAACAATAAAATAAGGTAATTAAAATTAGAATTGCAGCCTTATAAAACTGTAAACTGTAATTTGAACATTTTACCTGTAAGGTTCATAAAAGCAAAGTAATATCAAGAGACATAATATATTAATGAAAATTGTAGCTGTTCACTGCTTAACTGTTAATTGAGAAAGAGTCCAGGATGAGAAATAAAAACACAACCACATGTTTTTAGCAATGACAGAAGGAACACATTTGATTTCTTTGGTAAATTAAATTGTCTGGAAGTCAGACACATGACAAACAATCTTCGTTGCAAATGTGAATGGCAAAATAGTCATTTTATATGTTGAAACTTTCATTTAAATGTGCAATAGGTTTGATACAATTTATGTAATAACCAGCAATGCACCCTTGGTTTCCATACATATTTTGTATTCTAGGGAGCTACGAAGAGAAGTTATTATGCTGGCTTGCAGTTTTGGGAATAAGCAGTGTCATCAAGAAGCAGCAACAATGATCTCTGACTGGATTTCAAGCAACAGAAACCGGTAAGTAGAATGTTATTACCTTTTCATTCTATTTAATATATTTGCATAAATAATAGTGCCTGGTGTTATAATAAGGGACGGTAAATAACAGCCTGGCTCCAACTCCAATACCAGTAGTGATGACAACATTTTCCTGTAGGCAGATCATCCTATAAGCCATTTTAAAGTATATTGTAATAATTATCTATGAAAATCTATAACACTATCAATTTCCATACATTATCCATACACCATAATTACTGCTGAGCCATGTTTTTTTTTAACTTGGATGCACATTCACTTGCAGTTCTAGGTGAAAGAAAAAGAAAAGTAATAACAAATGTTACCACCTACAAATTAGTTTAAACAATTCTCCAAACACCAGGCTCTGCACTCAACCTGTAATTTAAAGACATGCCGATAGGTTAATTGACTGCTTTCTAAACTGGTCCTTTTTAAAGTGAACATGCTCTACTCCTTTAGTAAATGAACCCTATATTCTCACTAATGTGAAATATGTAGGCACTTTTCCATTCCTCCATTTGAGTCATCTAGTCATGTGAACTCAACTTTGCAGGGATTTTCCAAGTATATAAAAACAACATTAAAAAGAAACTGGTAGGTCAGGTGTGCTGTGAGCAGAGAGAATTAGATGAATGTTTAACATGCATCCTGGAATTCAGCTTTAATTTATACCTTTGTGATTATAGTTGGACAAAAGAGACAGTTCCCGGAGCCAAAATACTAAGGGCTGGAAGTCATGGAGGTAATACCTGTTGATTCCTGATGATTCTAATAGCATATGCTAATCAACAGGTATTATTTTTTATATATTACCTTTACAATAGTGGAGATCCCCTTTTTTTTCTGTTTTATTTGGCTTTGGAACTGTCTCTTGTGTCCGCATATTGCTTTATGGGTGTGGCTCTAGAACCTTCCCCTCTTGAACGTAATCTTATTACTAAATTGACCTTTGTGATGATAGTATTAAAGTGAGATTCTAAAGTAAGGGTTTGTTCACACCATGTGATCTGTTCATGCTATATATGTGTGGTGGTATGCAGGAAAACACAGCTCAACAGACATGGCCTGGATTCACGGCAACCATGGTTTCACTGGAAATTTGCTGGATTTGCATGCACCAGTGAATCTATTTGTGATTTTTCAGGTTCAAGATTTTTAAATATAATAATTGCAAGAACTTGCGCTAATGGAGAGTGAGGATAATAAGATGTTTAAAATCTTATTTTAGACTGGATCAAATGACGTAAGAATAGACCCGCCCCCGACGCGTTTCGTCACACAGACGTTTTCAAGGG